CTAAAATTGTTAGATAAATATAATATAAATTTATAAATTTGATAAATAATCTAATTTTTATTAGCTATTTAAGTGACCACGTGACTAGTAATATAGTAACATATACTATTTTATATTATTTTTATTAACATATAATTTTTGTTACTTTATTTGTAACTAAGTGACTAAATGTATCGTGACATAATGTTATATGACAAATGACAAAGGTCACGAAAAAAAAACCAAGTGACATGGGTTTTGTCCATCACTGGTGATCGTCGATCACTGGGTCCGGTGATCTTTAAGTGTCCCGTTTATTCTTAGAAAATTTGTGCTCTATAACTATATGAAAAGAACGGCTGTTTAGTACCGTTACGATATTATTACTATATGAATTACATACAGTAAATCGGACGCGTTGTAAAAGATTTCCTAATTTCACTGGTTGATCAATTATTTTTTAGTTAAACTAAAAGTTTAAAAATAATGAAGTGATAAAAGTTGCACTTTTTATTAAATCAATGTAGAATTTTTATACTGTAGTAATTTTTTATGTATCGGGCTTTTTTCTTTCTGAACACTGTTCGCTATAAAATCGACTGAACTATAGTTTCTTAAGAATCTGCTGCATTTTCTATTTAGAACAATGTAAAAATTTTCACATAATCTACATAATAAACATTTATTAAAAGTTTATAAATTACATTTACAATACCGTTTTCATGGTAAATTCCTATTCAGTAAGTAGCAACTAGCGTAATACTGTAATTAATGCTAAGCTAGATTTTGGAATTAATTTTATGTTTAAGCCAGTTTTGATCGGTTTTAACACATGAATAATAAGACCGATCCAAACTCTAAGTTGATGATACATAAGTCTAGTTTAGATATTAATCGTTGAGCTAACCAATTTTCAATTTACAAATTCAATGCGTTGAGATTCTTTACGTACATAGTTAAATTTTATTAACGAAAGAAGGAAAATATTTACAGTATTGTAATTAAAGTTGGTTCATCATTAACAAATGAAAATAAATATACTACATTCTAAAACGAAATTTGTTATCTACATATATTCTTTAATCTATGCTAAAGCCATACAAAATTAATATCTAAAATGATTCGACGGGTCAGTTTCTGCCAATGATTGAAAAAGCAGACTATTTATTACAGTATTGAATGTTTTTATTTTGCATATGTAGGGTTGGAAGTTATATATAACTTAAATACATCTGTTTGATACATATATACTGTACTAGATCACGACGGAACAAAATAAATTAAAATGAATAATTTACTTTAAATATCGAATAAAAAGTTAGGTGAGCTTACTTTAAATATCTCGATCACCAAAACAACATATAAGAGCTAAATGATCGATATACTAGTTTTCTAATTAATGAAAATGAATCAATAATGAATCACTTGGTCAACCGGTTCAACCGGGTTATTCAGGTTATTAGAAAATGCCCCAGCTTGTGCAGAGTTGTAAAGTTACAGTAATTTTAAATTTTCTGATACAGTAACAATAAATTGGCTTATCATGGTAACTTAACTTGGTAAGTTAAACCAGGACCCCGGATAATACTAGTAGAGGCAGTGTTGTACATGGACATATGTCCAAGCAAATTATTGGACATGGACAGTCCATGGTCACAATGTCCAATGTCCATGTCCATGGACATGGACATATTTCTATATGTTCATGGATATGAACATCCATATTTTTATATGTCCATGTCCATTGACAACACTGAGTAGAGGTACGAGTTGAGTTAATAGTAAATTTCCTTTTGGCCCAAATTTTTTTAAAATTCTGGCCAATTAAATTTTAATTTGACCAGAATTTAGAAAAGTTTGGGCCAAAAAAATGGTCAAATTTGTCCGGTTTTAGTAATTGTACAGTACCCTTTTTAGGGGTCCTGTTAAACCCAAAGCTTAAATTTAAAATAGTTGACTGGACATCTATGCTTGATCGCTTGATTTTGATTTGTCGATTTATTGGTAGATTTTTTTTTTAAATTATCGATAAAAAAAAACTTTTGATCGATCCGGTATACGAAAAATTATGCAATCTTCGTCAAGCAAAAGCAAAGCAAAAAACAAAGCAAAAAATAAACAGTCAAAGGTGTCAAAGTCGAAAGTCGCCTCTACACAGATAACGAATAAGGACAATACTACTTCAAAGGAATCAGTATGTGTTCCGCAACAGCGTGCAGAAGTTGATTTACCAAGAAGTAGTACTATAGTGCAGCCTTTCAAAGCCAAAAGAGAAAGAGCTAATAAGGAGGATCTTTTTGATGTAAATTTTATATCATTTTTACTTTTTTCAATTGCGTTTTCCGATTTTAATTTTCTTTTTAATAGGTCCTTGAGACGGAAAAACCTGCAAAAAAGAGAAAGTCTTCTATACTAAAGCCCGGGTCCACCCAGGCTGCTGATAGTAATAAAATTTCCGATTTACCACAAAATAATAAAAATAATAAACATAACAATAAAAATAATAATAAACATGATGATATTGTTGAAACACTTGGTTTTAAGGGAAGTAATTAAGACGCATACGTTTTTGCATTCGTGAAGTTATTTAATTTTTTTTTTTTATTATTATTATAGAAGCTAATTGTTGGAGCACATTGTCTAGGACAAATTACGAAAATAAATACTCTAGATATGAATATATCTCTTCCAAATCAGTTAAAAGGAATTGTTACTATTACAGGCATTTCTGAACAATTATCCAAGAAAGCTTCAG